AAACTAACCACAGACCAAAGGGGGCTCCAGGGATGAAGATAACGTGTGTCTTCCTTGTCTGTGGATATGGAGGCATATGTGCTTAAGTGTGTGCCTGGAGATGGCAGGAGAAGCAAGGAGAAAGAACACATACATCCCACAGCCAGGGAATGCACACACTTCAGAAACAATGTACAGAAGGCTTGGGACAGCAGGTGGAATCCCAGGTTCCACTCCCACAACACAACTCAATCACCTTCCCAGTGTCTTAACAGTGACTACACTTCTAGACTGTACTCCTCAGAATGGAGAATATGAAACCTGAATTTTTCTTTATTATGGTAAAATAAATGTAACATAAAAGTTACCATTTTAAACACTTTTAAGTGTACAATTCTATGACATCAAGTACATTCACACAGCTATACAACCATTACCACCCCTGATCTCCAGAACTTTTTCATCTTCTCAAACAGAAACACCATACCCATTAAACACTAACTCTACATTCCCTGCTTTTAACAGTTCTTACAACCACCACCCTACTTTCTGTCTGTGAATTTGACTAAGTACCTCACACTGTTCATCCTTTTTTAACTGGCTTATTTCACTTAGCATACTGTCCTTAAGGTTCATCCATGTTGTAGCATGTGTTAGAATTACCATCATAAAAAGGCTAAATAATATTCCCTTAAATGTAGATACCAGAATTTGCTTATCTGTTCACCTGTTGAACAGATATTTGTTTTGGATTTGGACTGTTTGCACCTTTTGTTTATGCTATGTCCTTTTGTTTTTGCTATGAACATAGGTGTACAAATATTTGTTCGAGACCCTGCTTTTGCTTCTTTTGGGCATATATCCAGAATTGGAATTGGTGGATCATATAGTAAGTCTATATTTAATTTTTTGAAGACTTGCCAAACTGTTTTTCATAGCAGGTGCACCATTTTACATTTCCATTAAAAGTGCACAAGAGTTCCAATTTCTCCATATTGTCACTAATACCTGCTATTTTACGTTTTGTTTTTTGTTTGTTTGTTTTGTTTTATTTTTATAATGCCATCCTAATATATTGGTATAAGTGGTATCTCCTGGTTTTGAAGAAAGGGATTTAAAAAAAAAAGATCTGCTGGTTCATTCTGGTCTAGGGCATTCTATATAAAGTAACTTACTATGCAATTTTCCAAAGCATCCAGCAGATTCAAGCACATGACTTTCCTGAGACTGTTTCCACAAAGCTTGTCCCAGGGCAGGATACCACCCGCATGCTATGATTCCCTAGCCATCATTGCCTAGATGTGCCAGAATTCTAAAGTTGTAACTGGCTTTCCACACATGCTTTTACACCCAGCAATTACCTTCCCCCACCCCCATTTAAATCCTGCTTTAACTGGGCTCTAACACTAGACATACTGTAAATGATCTGTGGCTTCTTGTCCACTCTTACACTAGACATACTACAAATGATCTGTGGTCCCTCGTGCCCCCTGCCTTCTTCCCACACAGAGTCCTTCAAAGGTGCCCCAAGAGTAAGGTAGTCCACCACGAGCTTGTCTTGTGGAAAGTGCTGCTGGACTATCTGGGGACTCTATTTATTGGGAAGGTCCTTTCAAGAGTGAGTGACTGCCTGAAACAGAGGAAGCCCCAAAATCCTCAGTAGAATGGCTGTGACCAGAACTTGCCTCTCCTGAAGCTAAAACTCAAAAGAAATGCTCTCATGTGGCACTTTGTTTAAAGTTGAAACTGCCCATTTCTTCACTGGATTATTTGTTTCACAGGTGTTGACTTTGGTAATCTTTACTTTGTAAATTCTTTACAGATTTTGGATAGACACTCTCCAAAGAAGACAACAGATGACCAAGAGACACATGAAAAGATGCTCAACATTGCTCATCATCAGAGAAATACAAATCAAAACCACAATGAGATACCACTTCACACCGGTCAGGGTGGCTAAAATTAACAACTCAGGAAACAACAGATGTTGGCAAGGATGTGGAAAAATGGGAGCCCTTTTGCACTGTTGGTGGGAATGCAAACTGCTGCAGCTGCTTTGGAAAACAGTGTGAAGATTCCTCAAAAAATTAAAAATAGAATTACCCAACTACCCAGCAATAGCACTACTAGGAATTTATCCAAAGGATATAGGAGAGCTGATCCATAGGGGCACATGTACCCCAATGTTTACAGCAGCACTATTAACAATAGCCAAATTATGGAAACAGCCCAATGTCCATCAGCTGATGAATGAATAAAGAAGATGTGGTTTATACATTCAATGGAATACTACTTGGCAATGAGAAAGAACGAAATCTTGCCATTGCAACAATGTGGATGGAACTGTAGGGTATTATGCTAAGTGAAATAAATCAGTCAGAGAAAGACAGATATCAAATGTTTTCACTCATGCAAAGGTTGAGAAACTTAACAGAAGACCAAGTTGGAAGGAAGAGGAAAAAATAGTTTCAAACAGAGAGGGAGACAAACCATAAGAGACTCTTAAATACGAAGAACAAACTGATGGTGTATGGGGTGGGGGAAAATGGGGAAATGGGTGATGGACAATGAGGAGGGCACTTGTTGGGATGAACACAGGGTGTTGTATGTAGCAATGAATCATGGGAATCTACTCCCAAAGCCAAGAGCCTAGTGTATACACTGTATGTTAGCTAACTTGACAGTAAATAATATTTGAAAAAATAAGAAAGTTGAAACTTTCAGTTAGACAGTTTTTTACAGTGTAAGAAACTGACTAGTCTCCCTTAATATAAGAACTTGACTTCTTAGTTCTTAGCTACCTCCTCATTCCTCCTATCTCATCCATTTCAGTCATTTCATAATGGTCAACTCTGCTGCTTGTAGGCAGAGGTGGGAAAAGATTTTAGGCAGAGTAGATTCTGAAACTGCATATCCTCAATACTTACAACAGTACCTGGCACATAAGAGTTTTAAGAATATCTATTGAACAAATCAAAACTATATTTATCAAAACAAGACTATAGGTCTGCCTTCCATGACTGTAACCAACCCAGCTAACTTGAATCTGTAGCAATGGGTTGTAAGTGGGAAAGTATGAAATTAGTAAATATAACATTTTTACTTTCATATTTATTTAAAGGCATAGTACATAGTTATAAATAACAGCATTGATTATGGATGGGGTTTTTTTTCTGGTTGATTTGTGTTTTTTAAATTTTCTTACTGATATCCTCAAACACATAAGCTAAAATAACACATTTTAATTTTACTCAATAAGTGTTTTTTATGAACTAAAGCCTGTATTCAGGTTTCCTTAAATTTTACTTAATATCATAATGTGTCCTTAGACTCCTCCTGTCTGTGATAGTCTCTCAGACTTTACAACTTGGCAGTGGACTGGTCAGGTATTGCGGGCTGTTCCTCAATTACTGTTTGTGAGATGTTTTTCTCACTGTGAGACTGGGGTCGTAGGTTTTTGGGAGGACATGGAGGCCCTTCTCATATATCTTATCAATGGGCACATGTTATGTTTGAGTTACAGCAAACATTTCACACATCCGTGAAACCTGTCAAAAGGATGGATAGGTGCTTCCAGAAAAATATGCCACTGCCAGATGTGTCTTAGAGACATGTCTGCATCCCAAGGAAATCATACTTGGTTTTATTTAGATTTTATATAAAGTTAAGTACTTTCACTTCTAAGTTAAATTCCTGAAACAAATATCCATGATTTTATACTTTCACTTGAGACTGCAGGCCTCTCTTTCTGAAGGGACTCTTGGCTCTTCACCCAGGACACTGAGAGTTTCACCTGTGTTCTGGAATCAGCACTATTAAATAAATTTACTTACTCTCAAACCCTTGACCTGGTGATCTCATTTTCCTAAGAATTCTTAATACTAGTCTTGTGAAACTAACAGCTAATAACCCACAAGATTCTCTGTCCTTCTGAGAGCAGCATTTCTTGTGTCTCAAAGCAGGCTACAGCTTGTATTCAACCGCCCCACGGTTCTCTTAACACAGAGATGCTGGCAGAGAACTAACTGTAATACCTCTCTCACTTTTCACATTACTAAAGAGTGGGGTTTGGTGGCTTATCCACCAGGGGAATACTCAGTTGACCCTTTTTTTATTTTATTTTTTGTTTTTTTTGCTTTTTCAAAAAACATCTTCCTTCTGCTTTCTTCACACTGTATATCACGTATAGTCAGATGGCTTAAGTCTAAACCAGAGTAACTCAATCAAAGAAACCAGAATCAAAAGTTACAGAAAAGTACAGACCTTTTGCTTGACCCTGCGAGTGAAAGCCTTCTTGGCCCACTTGTCCCCCACTCCCCACCCCCGGGCCTGCCTAGTGCACAGTTCTTTCTTCTACATTGGCGCGGCCCCTGCAGGGGGCTAGGGAAGGCAAATCAACGGGTCTCGCTCTCCCAAGTGCACCCTAGGCCGGGGCCACAGCCTAGTTGAGAGCTTGCTCTTTCTGGGCAAGCACTGTTCTCCGACCATTTCGGGATACTATAAACCGGAAGGTTTCGCTAGCAGCGGTTGGGTGCAGGTGAAAGGGACGCCTAGGCTCCAACCCGAGGGCAGGTTGGTAAGCTGCGCGGCTGCAGAGGGAGTGGGAGGGTCTGGGAAGGAAGAAAGAAGTCAGCTGGTGAAACCCTGTAAAATTGAACAAGGCCTCTCCAGACGCTGGGAAAAGAGGAAAAGGGTGGGGGAGACACAATTACCATGGCTCAGGCCGCATCTGGTGATTCTTGGGCAGCGTCTGGAACTGCGGGAAGACAAGACGCGGCAGAGGCTCTTACGCTTTTGGGGCGCAGGGCCGAAGCAGTGCTTGCGCTTCAGGTGGGCGAGGAGGCTCCCACCCGCACAGCCAGCCCTCCGAGGTGCTCCGCCTTGTCCCTAGGCCTGGTCCAAGCAGCGACCCATACACCCCCCCAACTAGCGGCCGCTCCCCAGCTCATCGCCCAGCAGCTGCTTCCTCACCCCGCCCCCCACCCCCTTATCCAGAGCACAGCCCCTGCGGCCAGCCCTACCTCTTCGCTTGGCGCGCACGATGCCCTTTTTTTGCAGCACGAACGTGGACCCATTCACCAGGCTCGACACTACGGCCACGCCCAAGCCGAGCGACACCGCGGCGGGGCTCGGGCTGCGCGCCCCCTCCCCGGCCGCCGCCGCTGCCGCCGCTGCAGTCCCCATTCCGCCCGCGCCCGCCCTCCGCGCCTGCGCCTGCGCGCCGAGCGCGCTGGGGCTTTTGGGGGTGGACCCGGGGATCTGCGGGGCCTGGACCAAGTGGAGGGTTGGGTTGGGACCGGGTGTGGGTGTGGGGAGGATTCCGAGTTCCGCGGAGGCGGGAAAGGGGAGGAGTAGAACTTGGGCTCCGTGGAGAGGATGCGGTGGGAGATCCTGGGGCTCGTCCAGTGGGGTTGGAGCCCGGTTCCGCGAAGCCGGGAGTTGAGGTGGAGAGGAGGGGAGCGACAATGAGGAAGGAGTAGGGAGTGGGGAGTAGTAAGAGGGGGCGGTGTTGAAGAAAGGAATAAGGTGGTAGATGGGTGGGTGGAGGTAGGGTGCCCAGATTTGGCAAATGAAAATACCAGAAGCCCACTTAAGTTTTTATTTGAGATAATTTTTTTTTTTTAGTTTCCCAACCATTATTTGGGACCAGAAGGGGGTCCGCAGGACACAGCCTTTGCTGAGATCACGATCCCCTCCAAAGCTTCTAGTAGGAGGCCATCAGGAAATCTCAAGTGGGGCCTGAAACCTGAACAACTCAGCCGTAGACGCTCAAATGGGACCACTGAATCGGGTGAGGTCAAGCTGCCTCCACAGTGGAGCAGGAGTCTGTAACCATACCGTCTAATTTCCTAATTTATTTTTTAAATATTTTATTGTCAAGTTGGTTTCCATATAACACCCAGGGCTTATCCTCACAAGTGCCCTCCTCCATGCCCATCACCCCTTCCTTTGCCTCCCCCCCTATCTCCATCAGTCCTCAGTTCTCAGCATTCAGGAGTCTCTCATGGTTTTCCTCTCTCCCTTTCCCCCACCATTTCCCCTCCCCCCCCCATTCTTCTCTCCCATTGTTCTGCCTTTAAGTTCCTCTTAACCCTCCTATACGTGCAAACATATGGTGGCTGTCCTTCTCTGCCTGACTTATTTCACTCAGCATAACACCCTCAAGTTCCATCCATGTTGCTACACATGGCCAGATTTCGTTCTTTCTCATTGCCATGTAGTATTCCATTGTATAAATAAACCATATCTTCTTGATCCATTCGTCTGTTGATGGACATTTAGGCTCTTTCCATGTTTTGGCTATTGTTGAGAGTGCTTGTATGAACATTGGGGTACATGTGCCCCTATGCATCAGCACTCCTGTATCCCTTGGGTAAGTTCCTAGCAGTGTTATTGCTGTGTCATAGGGGAGTTTTATTGTTAATTTTTTGAGGCACCTCCACACTGTCCTGCAGAGGGGCAGGGAAATACAAATCAAAATCACACTGAGATAGCTCCTAATTTACTTTCAATAAAATATATTAAAATTATGGAAAGCATGAAAAATAGGAAATAGTTATTTTCAAATTCCATAATCCCACACTATAGCCTAGTTATTATTTAGGTAATTTCCCTTAGTATACATACTTTTATATATTTTAAATTACAATATACAAAATATCCTTTTATTTAAAATTAAAATAAGTTTTCTTGTTACTACATAATTATTATTTTAATGGCAGTATAATTTCCCTTACAGTTAATCAGCATACTTTGTCCAACTATTTAGCAGTTGTTGGTTGTATGGTTGTTTTGGATACCAGTTTTTTTCTATTATGAATGATGCTGTAGGAAGCATCTTCAGGGCGTCTGGGTGGCTCAGTTGGATAAGCAGCCAACTTTGGCTCAGGTCATGATCTGTCAGTTCGTGAGTTCAAGCCCCACATTGGGCTCTGTGCTGACAGCTCAGAGCCTGGAGCTTGCTTCCGATTCTGTGTCTCCTCACTCTGCACCTTCCCTGCTCACATTCTGTCTCTCTGTCTCTCAAAAATAAATAAACATTAAAAAAATCTTTTTAAAAATCTTCATAAATTTTGAAAATACTAGGTTAAAGAGTATAAAACCTATGCAGACAGCATTATTAGTTTGTGGAGCAATATGAAATAATATACTATTCTGTAGGAAAACTTTAATGCCGAATGAATCCAGCCCATTGTTTATTCTTTTGTATTGTGGTACCATATTGTTGACCCTTGAACATGTGTTTAAACTTCTTGGGTCCACTCACACTTGGATTTTTTTTTTTACAATATAGTACTGTAAATGTATTTTTGGTTCTTTATGATTTTCTTTATATTTTCTTTTCTGTAGCTTACTTTATTGTAAGACTACAGTATGTAGTACATATGTAAAATATGTGTTAATCTACTCTGTGTTATTGGTAAAGCTGGTCAACAGTAGGTTATTAGCAGTAGTTAAGTTTTTAGGGAATCAAAAGGTATATGTGCATTTTTCTGTGCAGGGAAGGGGTCAATACCCCTAAACCCCAGATTGTTCAAGGGTCAGTTGTATATAACATAAAACTTGCCATTTTACGGGCGCCTGGGTGGCTCAGTCAGTTAAGTGTCTGACTTCAGCTCAGGTCATGATCTCATCGTTCATGGGTTTGAGTCCCATGTCGGTCTCTGTGCTGACAGCTAGCTCAGAGCCTGGAGCTTGTCTTTGGATTCTGTATCTCCCTCTCTCTCTCTGACCCTCCCTTGCTCATGCTGTCTCTATCTCTCTCAAAAATAAATAAAACATTAAAAAAATTTAAAAAAAACAAAACTTGCCATTTTAACCATTTTTAAATGTACTGTGCATCAACATTATGTTGACAGTGTTGGGCAATCCTCACCACTATTTATTTCTAAAACTTTTCCATTATCTGAAACAGAAAACTCTGTAGCCATTAAGCAGTCATCCCCAATTCTTCTTCCCCCTACTTCCAATCTTCCAAGCTACTTGCAGTCTCTATGAATTTGCCTATTTTATATATTTCATGTAAATGGAATTATACATTATTTGTCTTGGCTTATTTCACTTAGCTTGGTTTTCATTTGGTTTTAAGGTTCATCTATGTTGTAGCACGTGTCACACTTGATTCCTTTTTATAGCTGAGTAATATTCCATTGTATACAACATTTTATTTACCTGTTCATCTGTTGATGCACACTTAGGGTGTTTCTGGCCTTTTGGCTTTTGTGAGTAATGTTGCCATGACCACGGGCATGAAAGTATCTGTTTGAGTTTCTGACTTAAAATGTTTTGGATACAATGTACCTAAGAATGGAATTGCTGAGTCATATAGTAATTCTATATTTAGTTTTTTGAAGTACTGCCAAACTTTTTCCTTTTTTTTTTTATTTTATTTTTTATTTTTTTTATTTTTTTACAAATAGTTTATTGTCAAATTAGTTTCTACATAACACTCAGTGCTCATCCCCAAAGTGCCCTCCTCCATGCCCATCCCCCCTCCCCCCCACATCCATCAGTCCTCAGTTTTTGTCAGCATTCAAGAGTCTCTCATGGTTTGCCTCTCTCCCTTTCCCCCACCATTTCCGCCCTTCTTCTCCCCCTTGTTCCTCCGTCAAGTTCCTCCTAATCCTCCTATACGTGCAAACATATGATATTTGTCCTTCTCTGCCTGACTTATTTCGCTCAGCATAACACCCTCAAGGTCCATCCATGTTGCTACACATGACTGCCAAACTTTTTCAGTCTCTGCAACATTTTACATTCCCACCAGCAATACACAGGATTCCAATTTCTCTACATTCTCACCAATATGTGTCATTTTCCAGTTGTCTTTTCTTTAATAGCCATTCTAGTAGGTGTGAAGTGGTTGCTTATTCTTTTTAAATATACTTGTGAACATCAGTGGTATTTCCTGAAATAAGCGATAACTCCATTATAACTCTTAGAAGCAAGTGAAAGCAGCAGCAGCAGCATTGCCAACATTATCATAATCATTTACTTGTCTAACAATGCCAGTATGTGTATGTAAATATATAAATATAAATGTAAATACATAAATATATATAAGTATATATACATAAATATGTAAATACACACACACACACACCTTCAGTGCTTTTTTTTTTTTTAATGTTTTATTTATTTCTAGGAGAGAGAGAGAGAGACAGCGTGAGCAGGGGAGGGTCAGAGAGAGAGGGAGTCACAGACTGAAACAGGCTCCAGGCTCTGAGCTGGCAGTCAGCACAGAGCCCAACATGGGGCTCGAACCCACGAACCGCGAGATCATGACCTAAGCGAAAGTCGGATGCCCAATCGACTAAGCCACCCAGGCGCCCACACCTTCAGTGCTTTTGGCAAAAAGTCATGCTCATTAAACAAACAAACAAACAAACAAACTCAGTGAATTCAGTAAATGCCAGAGAATATAAAGCCTCACCCCAAATTCCATCACGCTAAAGTAACTATTATTACCATTGAGAACTCCACTACAAACATTTTTCCAGAAGAGTATATGGGTGGGTAAAACAATAGACATTATTAAATGGGAAAGCACCTACGGTATTTTAATTCAAAAGCTAAAACTGTGTATTACATGGATTTAACGTTTAAAAAACTGAAATAAAAATGGAGTGACTACTGAAGCTGAGGTAAATACTATTCCACCACAAGAGATACTAGTTCCTAAAAGATGCTTCTAAAATTAAAGTCAGTGAAAAACATTAAGAGGTGGGAGTAACTATGTTTCTCTTAACTCTTAACTTTTGGACAGTATCAGTTGAATCCTTGCAATGACAAATAAGGAAATCAGCTCACTTTCCAACTCCTTGCAACTTTTTTTTGTACTTTGCCAAGGCTTATAACATTTAGAGACTATTCTGTATTCATAATTCTATACTTACATAATCTTAAGTATATATTTAACTGGATTCATTATTCACATCACCCTTGTACCAAAGTTTTTTCTATCTATCAATTAACTGGAAATTTTTCAATTAACATATATTGAAAATAAACCATAGTTGCTATAATCTTTGAGGTTTTTTTATGTTATAGAATGTTTACCTGAACCACAAAGTGGACAGATTTAATATTTTCAGACTGTACTTCCTTTCCCTAAAACATTGCAGATGTTTCATCTTTTGACATTAAATGTTATTTTAAAAGTCTGAGGTCACACTGAACACAAA